CCCCTAAGCTGAAATGATGATACCTTTTTGTATTGCGAAATGCAACACCCTCTTTAATATTGAACCGCATGGAAATTGCTGAAATATGTGAATGTGGAGTGACGATGTAAGATCTTTGGGAGCATAAAATACAGCAGAGAGGCCAGAAAGGGAACTATGAGCTGAATCCAGATTCCAGTTAGTGATTTTCTGGCAAGGTGGCAGTAGCTGCAAGAAGAAAATCCACTTCTCCCGCCCGCCATCTTTAAAATGCATCCTTCAGACACTTCATTGCATGTGCCACACTATTGGACTCCGGATCTAAGAATTCTCCCAAATGTCTTGTTCTTTCTATGAAGATAAAAAGCCAAAATAGGTGAATGAGCCTGGACTTTTCACAGGAAAGCTAGAAATAGTAGCATTTGTCCAATCTGTGTGTGATCACAGTGGTGCCGTAGACAAACGGAAAGGAGTGGTTACTTCCGGGTCATTGCCATGGCATTTTCCAGGTCAGTTCATCTTTAGCCAATCAACGGAGACGAGATGAACCTGTGGCTGTGGTTGCTTGCTTGAAACTGCAGATGATGATGGAGTGTCTCCTTTATGAATGAATTCTGAGGACTTCCCCACTTCTTCCTACTTAGGGGAAAGATAATAAGGAGAAAAGGTGAAAGAGAATGTAATACCTTAGAAATTAACTAAAACTTCTAACCTGCCCAGAGATGACAAGCTAGGATTTCTGTAAGGTCCAAAGCTCAATATCTGACATTACAACTTCCCACCCTCCTCCAAAAAAGCTCCACCATCTAATAATGGTTATTTTATTTTATCTTTTCACAAACATTTACAGGGGCTTCCTGTGGTGCCAGGCAGCCTTCTACGTGCTTATTTGACATCATTTAATCCTCACGATGAGAGGTGCTACTCTAGCTAAGAAGCTCTCTGTCCCAAATAAAGCTCATATCTTTGCAACAGCTCCATGGTCTTAGCATTCAGGATGCCCTCTAGGGGTAAACCCAGTTTCATGAGTCACAGCACTCAGGAATCTGTGGTTTCTGACCAAAAGTCTCTTCCTAGTCC